TGTCTTTAGTGTGGAAGGTCTCATGCTACATACTAGAAGTGCAAAGGTAGATAAGCTAATTATCCCAAGTTGCAAGGAGCTACAAATTTAGTGGAGAGATAATATATACAAGTAACCATTGTATAATCTTATAGGTATTACAGTAGATTCTAAAATATTCTGCAAATATGGACTAGTAATTGATTAATGTGGAGACGAAGATAAATTATATAGATAATTATAGCTTTGAATAAGTGAATGAGGGCTGGGGAGATAGCTCAGTAGAATAAGCACCTACCTGGCAAGTGCAGGGTCCCGAGTTCAATCCCCAGTACCGGAAAAAAAAAAAAAAAGAATAAGTGAATGAATAAATGAATAAATGAATCTTGTAAGAAAGTCTTTCCTAAGTTTCAGACTAGGTTTGGTGCCCTTTCTGAGTATACCTTTGCCATGACACTTATTTTACTCTATTAAAAATAAAAGTCTCTCAATTATATCGTAAATTCCTGGAGAAAAGGAGCTGCATTTTACTTTTGAATCCCTAATACCAGCAGTAGTTGGAACATACCTGATGCTCAGTAAATGTCTCCTGAACTCACCACAAAGCAACAGAAAACAGGACTGGGGACAGTGGCAGAGCCTTCATCTAGCATGCTCAAGGACCTAGATTCAGTCTCTAGTATGGCAACAACAAGCAATGAAACAAAACAAAGCCAGGAAGCAAAACAAGCACACAAAAAGTGGGGGCTTGAAGTAGCTTTGTGATGAAGAAGGAGAAGCAGCAGAGAGGAGAATGAAGTGGCCGCAGATAAGGCCAGATGACAGCTTCAGGTAAGCTGCGAACAGCTTGATTACAAGGCCAAGTATGTTAGTTGTTCTTCATGTTTGTATTTCTCACTAGAGCACATTCACAGAAGCAGGGATGGGACACATAAATGATAACTTGTCTCCTAATATTTGCTTCAGACTCAGATACATTGCCCCCCACACAATAGGTGTTCAGCAAATCAAGGAGAGTGACATCAAAGCATTCAATGAGATCATTCATTAAAAGCAGAACCTGACCACTATGTTAGAATTCAATTGTTAACAGTTACTAAGTGACTGTAGGCAATACCTCTGCCCCAATAATGGAAGAAGCAGCATCCTTTTGATCCACAGTCTCATCTCATCTGAGCCTATTTCCGCTTTAAAATCATGGCACTATAAGCAAACTGAAAATTATTAAAACATTTACAATATTTGTTGTCTGTGGTAAATTTTGGATTCTTTACTCACAAAAGATATTGAATGAGAAGAAAACTAACACAAATTTTTGTTTTTAAGTAAAGTTTCATGTATGTCCTGCCATCCAACTCAGTCACTCGAATTGCCTCCCTCTGACGTATGCCTGAAAAACTATTAGGAATTTCTTGGTTTACAGCAGCAATAGCCTCCTAGAGAGAACTAATTCATGCACAAATGCAACTGAGTATTGTAGCCTGCTTCATAGGTAGTTGTATGAATTAAATGAAATACACCATGCAAAGAACTGAGAGAAGGGTTTGATCTAGTATTTTACTGGTAACTGTTTAAAAACTGGCTTTGTAGAAAAAAATGAAAAAAATAATAATGTCTAAATGGCAACATTTTTTCTGAATTCTATGATGTTATTTTCACCATGACTTACTCTAATTACACACATGTAGGAGCCAGCTCAGCACACATGAGATTAATAATAATTACTACTATAATTGAAAAAAGTTTAATGGATATAAACTTAAATGCCTAAAACTTTTCTCAGTATTTTAGGTAAATAAACATATCTAGATATATAGTTGGACAAGTAATATATATGTATATATAAAATTTAATTGGGGCTGGAGAGATGGCTCAGTGGTCTAAAGCACCTACTTAGAACAAGCTTAGCAAAAGCATCAGGGACTGCGGTTCAATCCCCCAGCACC